ACTTGGTGTAGTGCATATCAGCCAACTTTGCAACCTTTATTTAAATTAGAAAAGAAAGCTTTAAGAATAATCACCTTTTCCAGCTTCACTGAGCACTCAAGTCCTATATTTAAACACCTGAATGTTATCAAGCTGTCTGATATCATTACCCTTCAACTTACAGTGTTTAAGTTTAAGTTCCTTTTTTAATCCTGTTAGGAACATACATAGATATAACACTGGGTTGTCCTCCAGGATGACTTTATGTTCTCCTAAAAGCCAGAAAAAATTATGGAATTCTCTCAACATAAGATTCCAGGGTGTTAAAGTTTGGAATGATATATCTGATGACGTAAAGTTTCTCTTTCTTTCAGACGTTTTAGGAAAAAGTTGAAGTCAATTCGTATTGCTAGATGTTAATTACAGATTTACCAAAACTATATTTTTTCTGGCTTTCTAATACTGGCATACTTAGTTTTCTTTTGTTGTATATCTTTTTCTACCAGTTTTTTTTCCTTTTTTTCTTTTTTGAGTTTAGCGTAGCCTGTGCGCGACTGTAGTCCCTGACCCTTTAATATAATAATTTATTAATAACCTAAGTAAGGCTTTCCATCCTTTTAGCCTTTCATGGTTATTATGGACAGCCTGTTGTCTTTCGCTTTTTATCTTTGTGGTGACTAAAAAAACAAAAAAAAAATCTGATCATGTCCAAACGGTGGTTGAACTTATCAGGGTTTGTATTTGTAAAATGGCACTTATCCCTGTAGTTTTTTTTTTTCAAGCTAAAGCGCATCAGAATTCTAAAATTTATTTCAGAACGCTCTAAGTATTTCATATCAAAAAAAGCCCGGAGGATCACTGAACAACTTTGTAGCCTTTTCTGAAGAAAATTACCCGGAATACTTGTGCGCATTTCCCAAAGTCAAACGTCGTGTATGAGTAGCTTTTTTCTATCAAGACTTGCAAAGAGACTATAAACTGTCTATATTCTCTTAGACTTGTATAATATTTCATCTTTATTTCTTCCAATGAGCTATTTAGGCTCTGTTCGGGCCTGGACCCGCAGTGAGAGGATATCACGCCCCCTAGTGAGACTGGATTTGTGATGGGACCACCCTACTAAGGACATTTTGTTGCGTTAGTATTATGGGATATAGGAACATGTGCTTGTTCGCTTAAAGTTAGTAGTCTTTCGTTGGATTAAAAGGGGTGATTTAAACCGTTGTCGAAAGTTGAAGTTACTTAGTAGTCAGAACAAAACAGGCTCTCTCTAGGACCTAGGATCCTATTTATTATTATCGTTCGAATAAATAGGAGTTTCTTTCAAGAGTCTATTTATTCTATTTGGAATAGATTTGGGTTTCAGTGAAGCTTATCTACTATTCATGAAATTATTCGTAAAGATAGAGTGATAGGTCGACTTAACTCACCTACAGAAAGAACATCCATTAAAGATATAACCGGTTAAACTTTTCAAAAAGAATAAGAATATCCCTGAGACAACAAACGTAATAAGCGATCATTGATCATTATATCATTTAAACAGATGAGAATCGGAGATCCATCGAACGAACTAAAGATACTCCCTTACTGTATTGAAACATTGCTGATAAAACCAGGAAACGGAAGGAAGTCCCCTATTCGCTAAGCCTTTTGAAAGATGAATATTCAACTGCCCTCACTCACTTGAAAGCAGACAATTTTTTCTCAGCTCTTCACTCAGCAAAACTTGCACTCAACATTACGCGAACTCTTTTTGGAGAAGAACACCCCAAAATGGCTGCCAGTTACTCGTTACTCGGGCGCATACAACATTCTTTAGGTGATTATCAATCAGTTCTTGAGTCTTATCAGCTAGCCCCTTGCATGAGACGAAGGTTATTCGGCGAGAAACACTTAGATACAGTTAAAAGTTATTATTCTCTGGGGGTCACACAGCATTCCTTAGGTGATCATACAGCAGTCCTTCAGTCTAAACAGCAAGCGCTTGACAAAAGAAAAAAGTTGTTCGGTNGATCCATCGAACGAACTAAAGATACTCCCTTACTGTATTGAAACGCCGCTGATAAAACCAGGAAACGGAAGGAAGTCCCCTATTCGCTAAGCCTTTTGAAAGATGAATATTCAACTGCCGTCACTCACTTGAAAGCAGGCAATTTTGTCTCAGCTCTTCACTCAGCAAAACGTGCACTCAACATTACGCGAACTCTTTTTGGAGAAGAACACCCCAAAATGGCTGCCAGTTACTCGTTACTCGGGCACATACAACATTCTTTAGGTGATTATCAGTCAGCTCTTGAGTCTTATCAGCTAGCCCCTTGCATGAGACGAAGGTTATTCGGCGAGAAACACTTAGATACAGTTAAAAGTTATTATTCTCTGGGGGTCACACAGCATTCCTTAGGTGATCATACAGCAGTCCTTCAGTCTAAACAGCAAGCCTTTGACATGAGAAGAAAGTTGTTCGATGAGGAACACTCAGACACAGCCCAAAGCTACTATTCCGTAGGGGTCACACAAGATTCCTTAGGTGATCAGACATCAGCCCTTCAGTCTAGCCAGCTGTCATGTATTCCCGAGAAAACACAGACAACACCCAAACAATATGGCGGTTCGGTGCAAACAACCATTTAATGAATTACATGCGTACGCATATACAAACGTTATAAGGTCAACGCACAAACACAAAACAGGGAGACCACAACATCTCCTCCTTACATAAATGACCTGTCACTAGTTCCTAACTAAACCTATAGTACATTTCCAAAGGAAACATTAACAGATTGATAGTGTCCGGTAACTCATAGTCCGTAAGGGAACACACCCTGAAAACAAGGAAAAAGAAAAGAACGAAAAAAGAGGTTCAGAGATCGAGCCTCTTTGGTGCCCTGCGCGTTCCCTGAGGGCGCCACCGCTTTTGGACCATTGGAATCGCGTCAGGAGGGTTAGGAACTGCAGGTACGGGAACAGGACCCATCTCCGGTTGATCTGCCACGGAAAATTCTAGAACTTTACCAACCTCAGGGTATGGAGCACTTGAGGGGATTGGTGTCGGTGGCGCGCTGGTCACTTCGGGTCGGCTGACCTCAACACTACAGTAGGCGTCACTACCCTTAATTGTGTGCTCAACTGCTGTTGGCTTTAACTGGTCGATATGTCGGCGCGAAATCATTCCTGGTGCTACGTGCACCTCATACATCAGCGGACCTGTCTTGTTAACAGTCCGCCCTGAGCGCCACTTCACATCCCCTCGATAATCCCTTGACATAACCGAGTCACCAATCTCCAATTGACGATACTGCTTACTCTTCTCATTCGTAGCTTTGATGTTCTGTTGGTGTTGTTGTTAACCATCTTACGATTTAAGTTAGGTCTCACCAAATCTAGGCGAGTACGCAATGGTCTCCCCAGGAGTAACTGTGCTGGGCTCTCACCGGTGGTGGAGTGTGGAGTGTTCCTGTAAGCTATGAGAAACTTCGCCAACTTCTCCCTCATTGGCTTTGAGCTTTGACACATGGAACGCAAAGCTTGCTTGAAGGTTTGCACTGCCCTTTCCGCTAGACCATTCGTCGCCGGATGGTACGGTGCTGAAGTTATATGATGGATGCCATTGGACCTGACGAATGCCTTGAACTCTTCAGAAACAAATTGCATACCATTGTCGCTAACAATCTGTTCAGGAATTCCAAATCTGGCAAACAAATCGCGTAAAATTTCGATGGTCGAACTTGAAGATGTTGACTTAACCGGAATCACTTCCGGCCACCCGCTGTGTACATCGACAACCACTAAGAACATCGAGTTCTGAAATGGCCCTGCGTAGTCGATGTGTATACGTTGCCATGGATGCAGTGGTGCCTTAGCAGGCATCTTCTGGTTTTGCTGACACCCACTGCAGCCTTTCGTTAGCTCTTCCAGTTGACCATTGATATTAGGCCCCCATTCGTAGCTCCTTGCAAGTGCTTACATCTTTACCATACCCAGATGCCCATCATACAGGTCCTTCAACACTCTGTCTTGTAACTTATTGGGGACTACTACTCTCATTCCCCATAAGATGCAACCTTGGTGAACCGTCAGTTCATTGCGTCGCTCATAATAAGGCTTGTCTCCGTCTACAGGTATAGAGCATCCTTTCAAAATAGATTCGTGCACCCTTGCCAGAACTACGTCACGACGTGTTTCCCTCGCCACCGCTTCACTAGTTACGGGTAGTGGCACAAACTGCGATGCGTGGAACACTTCAGACGAATCCAATTACATGTTTTCAAGCTCTTTCTGCTGAAGGGGGAGTCGAGACAGTCCATCAGCATTGCAGTGTTCGGTTGTACTCTTGCACTCTATCTTATAGTCGAACCCAGACAAGAACAATGCATATCGCTGAAGTCTTGCAGCATTCATGGCTGGAACTCCCTTTTCTGGTTGGAAAATGGCAGTGAGGGGCTTGTGGTCCGTAATGAGCGTGAACCGCCTATCATAGAGGTACACATGAAAACGTCTCACCCCCCACACAATGGACAATGCCTCCTTGTCTATCTGTGCATACCGACGTTCAGTCTTGGTCAACGATCGGGACGCAAAAGCTACCGGCCTTTCGCTACCATCGGACATGACGTGTGAAAGAACCGCGCCGATGCCAGTTGGTGAAGCATCACATGCAAGCCTAACCGGTAACGCTGGGTCATAATGCGTTAGCACCTGCTCGGATGTAATTAGGCGCTTAGCCTCAGCGAAGGCTTGCTCGCACTCTTCAGTCCACTACCATTTGTTGTTTTGCCCTAACAACTGGTGAAGTGGGTGGAGGACTGTAGACGCATTGGGCAAGAAACGGTTGTAATAGTTTACGAGCCCTAAAAATGAGCGAAGCTGTGACACGTTCTCAGGCCTCGGCGCACTAACCACTGCTTCGATCTTCTCTCGTGTCTTGTGAAGACCTTCTCTGTCGATCTCATGCCCACAGAACTGAACTTATCCTTGAAGAACTTACACTTCTCCTTATTGGCCTTCAGACCCGCATCTTGTAATCGTTTGAGTACACTCTCTTGGTTCTTAAAATGTTCTTCATTCTTCATCGGTTTTGCCCGAAACAATCATGCCGTCAAGGATACACTGGGTGCCAGGTATTCCCTGTAATACCTGGTCTATGGCACTCTGCCAAATTTCTGGAGATGAGGAGATGCCAAAAAATAAGCGATTGTATTGAAAGAGACCCTTGTGTGTATTAAATGTGAGGAGTTCCTTGGATCTTTCGGTTACCTCCATCTGTTGATAGGCTTAGCGCAGGTGAAGTTTGCTGAAATGTTTACCCCCAGCCAAATTAGCAAAAATATCCTCTATGCGTGGCAAGGGATATTGTTCCGCAGAAGTACTGGGTTCACTGAGACTTTAATATCGCCACAAACCCGCACTGATCCGTTCCGCTTGACTACTGGCACAACCGGGGTAGCCAATTCACTGTATTCTACTTTTGAAAGAATACCTTCCTTCTCCAAATGTGTCAATTCCGCTTCTACCTTGGGGCGGAGTGCGTATGGTACTTGGCAGGGTTTATGAAAACTGGGCTGGCAGCCTTCTTCAACCTTCAAGTCCGCCTTGTCACCTTTAAGTGTGCCCAAACTCTCAGAGAATACGACTCGCACTGTTGTAGTGACTGATCCACTCTGCGTAGCATAACTCCTTCTGAGGTCTCGTTAAGCTTAAGGGTTTTGATTTCACCCCAGTTCAGCTGAATTTTAGAGAGCCAGTCACGCCCAAACAATGCTGGTCCCTGCGTCTCAACAACTTGTAGGGTTAACTCTTTTTCCTGGCCCCTGAACTTGACAATACACCTTATCTCTCCCTTGGGTGTGAATTTCTACCCAGTGTAGGTTTTAAGTGTCACAAGGCTCTTTAAAAGCTTCACATGATCAAAATGTTCCTTACACTGTTTATATGGAAGTAAAGAAACTGCTGAGCCTGTGTCTAATTCCATCTTGACCACCTTTCCCTATATTTCGGGGTTGACCCATATGTCATGATCCTTATTAACTTCTCGGGAAGCTAAATAATCGTTGCTGTCCCAGTCGTCACTGTCTACATAATTTACTGGGGGTTGGACAGCTTGTGTCTCTCTTTTCTTGGACTTACAAGCCCTCCCAATGTGACAGTCTTGTTACAATGATGACATTTTTCCTTTCTAAATGGACAACTTTTATGATCACGAATTCCCAAACAGCGGTAGCAACTTTGTACACCCGTTTTCTTAGGGAAAGGAGAACTCTTTTTTTCTGAACACTAAGCTTCTCTCCTGAATTTAAGCTTCTTGCTTGGCTTTGACTTGGCTAATAAATCGACTGGCTTAGACTCCTTACGTCCCTGTAGAGCTTCAACATCCTTTAAGACTGCTCAATAGCAATGCACTTTGCAACAGCAATGTCAAATGTCAGTTCCTCCAGCTTTATTTTCAAAAGCTCTGACATCATTCTCTTATCTCGAATACCCGAAACCACTTTATCTTTGAGCCTTTCCAAACGCATGGCATCATTAAATTTGCAATCCGTACCTAGATGTTTTAAAACAGCAACATATTGACTCACTGTTTCTCCTGCGTTACGTGCATGGTTGTCAAACTCATACCTGGCTACTAAAGCAGACTTCTGTGGCTTCCATTGTTCGCAGAGACGCTCTACGATCGCGTTGTACGTGAGAGAATCTTCTCCTGACAATGTAGGAGCCATCAAATCTTTCGCCAGTTGGTACGTTTCAATGGGAAGATTGGTTAACAGGACGCCTTTCTTCTGTTTCGCGTCGCTCACTCCATTGGCCACGAAGAAGAGTTCTAGCTGTTCTGTGTACGCCTCGAAGTCAGTTCCCACAGTGAACTTTTGAACTTTTCCGATATTACGAACCGGACTTAGTGCCGCATCTGCATCGCTCGGCATCGTAAACGTTGTGTGGATCTAATTTAGGGATGTCTTCACTTTCCTCAAGTAAAAAGTCCCTCAATATCCCATCCTCGTCGCCAAAATTGTCATGTATTCCCAAGAAAACAGAGACAACACCCAAACAATATGGCGGTTCGGTGCAAACAACCATTTAATGAATTACATGCGTGCACATGTACAAACCATATAAGGCCAACGCACAAAAACAAAACAGGGGGAGACCATAACACCAGCAAACCCTTGACATAACACGAAAGTTACTCCCGCCAGAAATTGCCGACAAAATGGCGGACAGGAACTCCTCGGCGACGCTTTAAAGATGGCTGCCCCTATAATAGTAAAATGTACGGAGTAAAAAATTCAATGTCAAAATTTCAATACTTAAACAGTTCGCCGACTACTTGCCGACCTCTCAATGGAAAGAATAAAGGCTGATAGTTTCGAAAAAAAACTGTTTGGAGCTGCGTCGGTGGGAGTAACGAAATAACTTGGATATATCAACAAAGTTGAAGTGGTAAATTGGCCACCGTAACGATTACAAAAGCTGACGTTTCGAACGTTAGCCCTTCGTCGGAACGAATAGAGGAATTGTGGGTTGTGTGTGCTTTTAAAAGGCAGAGAATGGAGCTACGTTATTGGTGGGAACATGGCAACGAGAAAAACACGAATAATTACTGGAATGAAAAGCGTTCGTTGATCCCTGTGAGATTTGAGACTGCCGGTTTGAAAGATGAGCTTTTGTTCAAGATTTTTACGGCTTTCCGTGCTACCTAAGTGTAAGGAAAGACCGCAGATTGCCATATGTTGCTTAAAATGATTAGGTAAATTAAAATGTCTAGCGACTGGTTTCGATGTGTCCTTGTCATTCCTTTCCACGCCTCGAAGGTGTTCTCGGAAGCGGTCACCTAGTCTTCTGCCTGTTTCGCCGACGTATATTTTTTTTTGCGATAAGTGCAAGTTATGCAATAGATTACATTGGCGGAGGTGCACGTGAAGTGATCGGTGATCTTAATGGATCGTTTAGGTCCAAAGAAAGAACATTTACTGCATGATTCATAACAGTCATTTTGAAATAAATTTGACCATCCCACGTTCTGCCAACTCCACTTTGTAGAGGTCATAAAACAGCTCCTTCAACTCTATAATTTCATCGCAAACGGGACGAATTGCTTACCCTCTCGACCGTTCTGTAGACTTTGTTTACTTCGGTTCCCTAGTGCCGACCTCGCAAAACACTGCCAGATGTTTACAATTTCCAAGGCTAAAAAAATCAGGCCGAAAAAGCTTTCTACCGTTCTGCCAAATTTAATTGAAATGAGCATAAATTCAAGATTACTCTCTTTATCCAAAGTGAACGGAAACCACCATTTCTGCTA